AAAATGAAGAGGGAAAACAAAGGGCACTGGCAAGCCCAGTGTGTGTGTGTGTGTGTGTGTGTGTGTGTGTGTGTGTGTGTGTGCATGCGCGTGTGTGTGTCTGTCTGCCTGCTGAAAGACTTGTAAAGAAAAGTCACCCCAGTAGCAACGAGCACACTTAGTTGCCAGATCTTAATTTTCTCATAGAGTTGCCATTACAAATTACCACAAACCGAGGGGCTTAAAACAACAGAAATTTATTCTTTCACAGTTGAGGATGCCAGAAGTCCAAACTCTTGGTGTTGGCAGGGTTGGTTCATTCTGGAGGCTCTGAGGGAGAATCTGTTCCATGCCTCTCTCCTAGCTTCTCATGGTCGCTGGCAGTCCTTAGTGTTCCTTGGCTTGTAGTCGCAACACTCCAATCTCTGCCTCTGTCATCACATGGCCTTCTTCCCTGTGTATCTGTGTGTCTCAAAATCTTCCTCTTATTATAAGGACACCAGTCATTGGATTTAGGGTCTACTCTAATCTAGTATGACCTCATCTTAATTTGATTACATCTGCAAAGACCCTATTTCCAAATAAGGTCACATTTACAGGTACCACAGGTTAGGACTTAAACATATCTTTTTTGGGGGACACAATTCAACTCGTAAGAGTCTAATTTCATCCCCCATAAATAGGTCTCCCCAGAGAAACAGCTAATTCCAGAGCTGGAGAAGGGTGGGTACAGAGGAGACTGGAATATCTTATTATACCAGAGAGTAACGAAGTGTTAAAAAACATGAGAGCATGGCACAAGGACACAAGAAGCTGAGGGCTGACAGGAAAATATGGAGGGAATGCTGGAGTCAGAAACTCATTTTGCAGACATAGTGGTAATGATGAGATCAACCAAGAATTAATAGTGGATGCTCAATCTAAGGAGAAATTTTGATGAGCAGAATATTTTATTGTCTTAGCGTGTCTTCTCACATACAACTTATTAGTACAAAGGAGGAGGGGAAACAGTAAAATAGAGTGGAAAAATAGGGTAACACATTGACCAAGTGATCAAAATTAACATCACCAATGTGATACCCTAGAAGGACACATCATCATCTATACAGTATTCTGCTTAAGAATGCATAACTTGGATCTATTCATGAGAAAACACCAGACAAACACCAAGCAAGAAATGTTCAACTAAATAAGTGTATTTTGGAGACTATATTTTCAAAAATGGCAATATTATAGTCAAAATCCTAGAAACAGAAAGTATATTGGTGGTTGCCAGGGACTGAGGGGAGAGGGAAATGGAGAATTAATGTGTAATGGATGGTTTCAGTTGGAGAAGATGAAAAAGTGCTGGTGGCAGAGGATGGTGATGGTTACACAAGAAAGTGAATGAACTAAGAACTGTACACTTAAAAGTGGTTAAAATGGTAAATTTTATGTATATTTTACCACAGTAGAAAAGTGGGTGTTATGAAGGCAAATAAAGGCTGTGGAAATATTCCAAATTAAAGGATATTAAAGAGATATGACGATTAAATGCAATACCTGACTCTAGACTGGCTCTGATAACAGAAGGGAAAGAATGCTATAAAGGACATTAGGTCAACTGATGTTGGAATATGGTTGGCAGATTAAAGTTGATAACTGAACAGTGGTTATGTAAGAGGAAACATACACTGAAGTGTTAAATGCAATGTTCAAATAATTCAGACAAATATGTAATAGGCACATACAGAGATAATGATAAAGCAAATGTGTTAAAATGTTAACAATAATTAAATCTGAATAAAGGTATACGGGTTTATTGTATTATTTTATTTTTGTAATTTTTTATAAATTTGAAATTTTTGTAATTTTTATAAATTTGAAAAGTAAAAACAAAAACAAAAAACTCAATGAACCCACTGTTTCCTTCCATTCTCTCCTAAACCCATTGTAGTCAGGCTGTCTAGCCCACAACTCCACTAAAATGCATTTGTCAAGGTTACAAATTATATTTAGTTTGCTAACTCTAATGGTCAATTCTTAGTCTTTCTCTTACTTGACCCATCAACAGTTATTTGACACAGTTTATCACTTCCCCCATCTTAAAACGTGTTCTTTTCTTGAAGTCTGGACAGTACTCTTTTAGGGTCTTTCTCTTACCTTCTTGGCTGCTCCTTCTTAATTTCCTTGACAGTTCCCCTTTATGTCTCCCTCTTTTAACATTAGAGTGCCCTGGAGCTGTCCTCAGAGCCAAGCCATCTAGGGGTTTCTGCATGCTGTCATTTCTCAATGTCAATCTAATGTCTTTGTTCACTCACCTTAGTTTGAACATGTAATAATCTTTCAGAAAATGTAAGATCCTCCTCCCTTTGAGGTCTTACCCAAGGTCAATGCCCTATTACCTATTTTTTGGTTCGGAGTAGTTTGTAGTTGTGCATAGTAGAGAAAGTCTCTCACACTACCCTGAGTTCACATTCTAGGAGAAGGATAGGGAGCTGGAATTCCTTTCTGGTATCCTGGGGAGGTCTGAAGTATAGCTAACCCTTCAAAAATTAGAAGTCTAGGGCCCAGTGAGGGAAAGATACTGGCTGAAGGTTATTCACCTATTGGAAACATCTGAGTTAAAACATCTGTGTTCTCCTTAAGTGATGATTTAACATGTTTGCGTTAGGGATTTTCTCAAGAATCTGATGAAAGCTGTAGACTTTTTCCTGGGAGGTGGGGAGATGGGGAAGGGAAAGTACTTAGCACAATTCTGTTGTATCTAATTTCACAAGCTTCACGGACCTTTGAAACATATCCAGAACTCAGGTTGCAAAACTATCAGAAAAATCCAAAACAGGATAACTCAGTCTTCAACAAATAAATGGTGTGAAAAAACTGGGGAAAAGGGAGTGTAAATGTTTAATATTAAAAAAGTCTTAGGAAGCCTTAAAATCAAACAAGATGTAGACCTTGTTTGAATTCTGATTCAAACAAAGTACAAAAGGACATTTTGGGGGGCAACTAGGAAAATTTGCATAGAGTATTGAATATTAAGGAATTATTTTGTTATATGCGAAAATAATCATGTAAGAAATTTTTATTAGAGTATCAGAGTATTTAGGGTTGAAATATCATGTCTGGGATTTATTTTAAAATATTTCAACAAATAAAAAAATGAAGCAATTTTTGCAAGATGTTTACAATTAAATTTAGGTGACAGGATCTGGGGGTTCATTATAATACTCTCTTCTACTTTTGTGATTGAAATTTTCCATAATGAACAAGTCCTGCTCTTTGCCATTCTGGCAAAGACAGGCAAGGATCTCTGGGTTGTCACAGCCAGTACTCAGGTTTTGAGACTCACTGAAGAGCCATCCATAGACTTCCTGACTTTGAGACCACAACAGACTGTTTTTTGTCACTGTGGGTTTTTGTTTGTTTGTTTGTTGTGTTTGTTTGTTTTTACCAGAGGACTCACTGATACCCTGCAGAATGAAATACATAGATAGGTATTGCTGTTCCTTTCTTGGTCTTTCAAGGAATTTGTCCATCTCATCGATGTCAAATTTATGGGCATAGAGTAGTTCATTTATGGGCATAGAGTAGTTCAGACTTTATCCTGTGAATGTCTGTAGGACCTGTAGTGATGTCCCCTTTTTCATGCCTGGTATTTGTGCACTATTCTCTTTTTGACATAGACAAACAGAGGCCAAAAAGGAGAAATGATTCAGTTTGAAGCTACAGAGCAAGCTGGATCATCTTTTTTAATTTTTAATTTTTTCAGCTATAGTTGACATGCAATATTAGTTTCAGGTGTATGGATTTTTATTTCTGCTGCCTTAGCCAGCTCATAGGATAGTCATACTTTTTGAGGCTCCCTGTCCCCAGCCCACAGCTCTCATATACTCCATGTGGCCTAATATATTGTCTGATGTGGAAGAGCCCAACTGTATGCCAAGGGCTGTCATTGCCCTTGGCCTCCAAGGTGAATCCAACTTCTCAGAATGTTCTTTCCCTTCATCTGTCGCTTCCCCACAAAAGCAAACTCAGGTGGAAGAAGCTGGATAGCAAAGGTAAGGCGGGATGGGGGGTAGCAAATGGTACAGGGGGGCTGCTTGCTAGAAGCTGTTGGAAAACTCAGTTTCCCTGGAAAGAGGCAGTTCTAAAGTCTCTATGGTGGAGAGAGGAGATCAGGGAAGGAACATGATTACTGGCAGTGACAACCTCCTCCACTTTACTACCCCTTTCAACTCTCGTCTCCTTAGAAGGATCATACGTCCCTAGAGAGCAGGGGAGCTTTCACTCAAGTCTTCTAAATTCTCAGTCTATCATCTTCCCCAAACCCCATGTCTGGGTATTGGTGAAGGAAATGAAAGACATAACTTCCCTCCTTTTCTTTTTGCTTTAACCTCAAATGGCCTTATCCCTCAGTGCCATCCAGTAACCAGGTGGTACTGGCTAGGACTTGTTGAAGCTTTTTCCTCTACTTCAAGGGTCTCCTCAATACCCACCACACCTGCTGTTTGGGGCTCAAGTCATCAGCATGCAGAGGGATGACCAGGGAAATAGAGTCTGCCACCACTATGTACCCCCAAAATCTAAGGAGCAAAATGCAAGTTTTCTGATTTTAAAATCCATTTTCCTTCCATTATATTAATGCCTCATATTAATGCAAAATAAACATTTTGTGCCAGGTGCTTTCCCTCCTATCGTCTTTAGGAGAGGATGGTGGGAGACAAGAAAGGAAGAGGACAAGGACAGATTCTTCTGTCTGAAGGCCTCCAGAGGGTGAGCACTACTCGCTTTGGGTAAGTTTTCCCACTATTTGGAGTATGTGAGTACCTGGTCTCCCTGGCTACCTTTCTGGAGAAATGTTTTAGGAAATTGGACGCATCACAGAGCTTGTTGGATATGAGAACCTCCTCTTTATTCCACATATAGAAGCTGGCTTCTGGAGCTGGGTAGAGAAATGGCTTTGGTCTGGCCCTACCTCTGTGTGGGCCCTAGGAATAAAGTCTGGATTCCGGTGACAAGGCCTTTCTCCAGGTGGGAATGAAAAGTCCTGACCTCCAGTCATTCCCAAATTAGGGGGTAGGAGAAACAATGTGGGGCAGTTCCATGGTGAGGTGAATATCAGCTTGGGGCAGGCTCTTCCAGGCGAGTTCTAAGATCCCGTAATGGGCGATGCCCATGGGAAGTATGGTACGCACGTTGTTTTGCCCCGGGAGGGGCACCACCTCCTGGAACTCCAGAGGACCTCTAGGGATATGAGAGCCACCACAAAACAGATGGTACAACAACCGCTCCCCGGGAGCTAGCTCCATGTCCCGTAGGGCCTCTGTGTACACAATCTCATGGGATTTGGGTGCCTCTCTCAGTAGCAGCTCCTGTAACAGCCTCCGGATTCCGGGGGACTTAAGTTGGTACAGGTCCATGAGCTGGTAAAACTGTTCCATCCAAGCAGCACTGTCTTCTGCGTATCGCTTCTGCAACATCCGCAAAACATGGTACAGTGCCACGAACGTCTCCCATAGAGGCACATCTTCCTTTTTTTTAGAGCTAGGCTGGGCCTTCTTCTCCACCTTGGGCAATTTGGGAAACCTACCCTTATCCTTAAAAGCCCAGAAGTCCTTCTGAAACATCAGTGCTAGGGTCTGTTTTTCCACAGAGGCATGGGCACCTGTGAAAATGTCTCTAGGGGCAGGATAAAAGTGCCGCATCTCCATCTCCCTGAGAGCACTAGATAACTCCTGTGCCCGCGCACTCCTGTAAGGCTCTCCTAGAAGATGCCAATTTACAGCCTTTGGGTCTGGAATCCTCTTGGGAGCTAATGAGGACTTTGGTGTGGGGACAGCCAAAGGCTTTAGCCAGCCTTCCTTTTCCTTTCCTTTTATAGGAGGGATCACTTTCAGGTATTTTGGACCCATCGGCTCCTTGCTGGATTTTGAGATACGCGTGCTTCTTGATTCCAGGACCTGTCTGTGACGGTACACAATAGCTTCAAGTTTGGCCAGATGCATCCACTCTAAGGTTCCTTTTGAGGTGAGGTCTTTGAGAAGCTGGCACAATCTGTGGAAACTGTCCCTGGAAAGCTGTTCTCCTGCATCCATCCGTTCTAAGACATCATGGATCCACTCCACCTCTGAGAGGCTTATGTCTTCATATATATCCTCATCCAGGATTTCAGGCACAGGTAATGGTACTCCAGTCTTTCCCACCAAAGGTGGATGACGCTTCAAAAGCCACTGCCACCTGTCCCCTAGTGTTTTGCCTTGGAGTTTTTGAGCTTCCATGGTCTTCCTCAATATGTGGGAAAAATATGGGGTCCTTAAGTGTGGCTCTTGTGACTCTAAAACCTTATCCCAAACTTGTAAAGGAATGGACTTATATTTCTTCAACAGTTCTTCTTGTTTTTCCATAAACCTTGTCTCTGGGAATTTCCTGGATGTCTCAAGTACTGTGGCCTTATCTTTCCAGGGTATTTGTTTCGCAGACACTGGCACTGGCATAGCCTCTTTCCTCCCTAGAGCTACTGAGATCAGTTTCTTGGAAGGGCTTTGTGTAACTCCCAGGTTTATAACACTACCTTCGACCTCAGGGATTCTTTTTCTAATAGATGGTAGTGTTTCTCTTCCTCTTAGGTCCTTTATTCTTTGTTCTTGTAACTTAAATAGTTTTTCTTTTAAGATCTTTTTTTCCTTATCTATCTCTTCTCCCAATGAGCTTCTCTCTTCTTCCTCCTCTTTCTCGCTCAAACTTTCTATCTTTTCATCATACATGCTTGCATCCTCCTCAAACATTTCTGCCTCTTCTTCCTCCTCCTCTTCCTTCTCTTCCTCCTCCCCCTCCTCCTCCTCTTCCTCTTCCTCCTCCTCCTCCTCCTCTTCTTCCTCTCCCAGCTCCTCAGACAAACTCTCTCGCTCTACTTCACTTAACAGGTTCTCTATTTCTCCAGGAAAGCTCTCTTCACTTTCCACCTCATCCCCTTGACTGAGAAACTCTTTCTGCAGCCCATCAATTTTCTTTAACTCTTTACTCTTTTCTGACTCTTGTTTAAGGAATGGCATTACCTCTTTTTCTTCTGTTATTCCTTCCTCCTCTTCTTCCTGTATGACTTCTCTGTGTTGCCTGGCCAATCTGCTTTCTACTTCAGTTAGTTTTTTCTCTTTCTTTATCATTTTTCTAATTTCCTTGGCCAGTTTTCTCTGCCTCTCAGCCAGTTTCTTCTCAATTTTGGTCATTTCTGAGTGTTCCTCAGAAATATCCCGCTCTTTGGCATCAATTTCATTTTGTTCCTTGCTTAATCCCCTTTCCTTGATAGATAGTGACCTCTTTGTCTTTGTTATCTGTATTTCTTCCTGGGTTAGTTTCCTTTCTTTTTTGATAAGATTTTGAAGTACCTTTAAGATTTTGCTGCTCTGTTTTGATTGTTCCATGGAAATATTTTCTTTAGCCAACTTCCTTATTACTTTGGCTAGCTTCCTTTCTTCCTGGGCATATACTCTCTTTCCTCTAGTAAGTTCTAATTTTTCTTTTGCAATGTTCTTTTGCTTTGTGGCCAGTTGCCTATCTTCATGCGTCAGTAGCTCCTCCTCTAGTGACAATTTCCTCTTCATCAGTTCTAGTTCATTCTTACTCAGTTTCCTCTGTGGCTTGGTTTCTTTAGTCGCTCCCTTAGGGAGAATTTCCTTTCCCTCAGCCAGTTTCATCTTCTTTTGAGCCAGTTTCTTCATTGCCATACCCAGTTCTTTTTCTGCCTTAATAACATCCTGCTCTTCTTTGAGCAGTTCTTGAAATACTGCGCTTGCCTCTAGAGCTAATTTCATTTTGTCCTGGGCTAGCTTGTGCTGTTTCTCAGCCAGCTTTTCCTCTTCTTGGTCCAGGTTTTCCTCTTCCTCAGCCAGTTTCTCCTTCTTTTGGAAAAGTTCCTTTTTTCCCTCCATCAGCTTCTCCTCTATGTGAACCAATTTATTCTTGTAAGTGTCCAGTTTCTCCTTTACCTGGACTAATTTCTTTCTGTTCTGGGCGAGGTTTTCTTTGAGCTGGTGTAAGTTCTCTTTCTTCTGATTCAATTTCACCTTCTTCTGAGCCAGCTTCTCTTTTTCCTGAGTCAGAGTCTTACCCCTCTGGGCTAGTATTTTCTTTTTGTTTGCCAATTCCGCCTTCTTCTGGACCAATTTTTCCATTTCTTGGGCCAGTTTTTCCTTTTTCTCCATCAATTGCTTTCTTTTCTGAGCAAGTCTTTGCTGTTCCTCGGGCAGTTTTTCCTTGTCCTGGGCCAGTTTCTCCTCTTCCTGGATTAGAAGCTCTTCTTCCTGGATGAGTTTTTGCTCTTCCATAGTCAGTTTCTCTTCTTCCCAGGCCAATGCCTCCTCCTCCTCAACCAGTCCCTCCTCTTCCTTAGCCAGTTCCTCCTCTTCCTGACTCAGTTCTTCGTCTTTCCAAGCCAGTTCCTCTTCTTCCCATGTCAGCTCCTCCAAGTCCTGGGCTAGTTCCTTTTCTTGCTGTGCCAGATCTTTCTCCTTCTGGGTCACTTTCTCCATTTTCTGGACCAATATCTTTTTTGCCTCGGCCAGCTTCCCTCCTTTCTTTGCTATTTTCTCTTCTCCTCTAGCTAGTATCTCCAATTTCTTGGCCATTTTCATCCTTTTCTGGGCCAATTTCTCTGCTTCTTGGCTTACTCTCTCCTCTCTTTGAGCCAGGTTTTCCTCTTCCTCGAGAACCTTCCTCTCTGTCTGGACCATCGTCCTATCTTCCTGAGCCAGTTTACTCTCTTCCTGGGCCAGTTTCTTCTCTTCCTGGGCCAGTTTTCTCTCTTCTTGTGCCAACTTCTCCTCTTCTTGTGCCAGCTTCCTCTCTTCTTGAGCTCGTTGTCTTTCAGCTTGGGCTCGTTTCCTCTCGACCTGGGCCTGTTTATATTCTTCCTGGATCTGTCTCTGCTCTTCTGTCACCAGCTCTTCTTTTTCTCTTTCTTCTTCCTCTTCGTCTTTTTCTTCTCTTCCTTCTTCTTCCCACTCCTGAGACAACTCTTCTTCCTCCAGGGTCACTTTCTCCTCATCCTTGAACGGTTGCTCCCTGGAGCTGTCCGACAACTTCTTTTCCCAGGCCAGTGCCCACTCATCCCATCCCAGTTTCTTGTCCTCATCCAGTTTTTCCTCGTCTAGGGATAGCTTCTCTTTGTCTTCTTGTGGTTTCTCCTCTTTCTCAAGATGCCCCATATCCCAGGCCTTCTTCCATTCATTCCAAGATTTCTTTGTCTCACCATTTGCCTGTTTCCACTGATCCCAGGACATCTTCCAATCCTGCCAAGAAGACTTCCTCTCATCCATAACTGGTTCTCCTTTTGGCTCAACCACTTTCTCCTCTGGTTTGGCCATTTCTCCCACTTCCTGACTCACATCTCTCTCTGTTTTGGTCATTTCCCTCTCTTTTTTATCCACTTTTATTTCCTTCTGGACTGCTTTCCTCTTTTGCTTAGAGGGTTTCTTAGAGGATTTCTCCTCTTTCTTTAATATGTGTTTCCCCTTGGTTAGGCCGCCTGGTTCTAAAAATATAACTTTCTTTTTCTTGCGTTTTTTGGGAATCACCTGGGTTTCCTCTAAGTCCTGCATGTCACTTGCTTTCTTTTGCACTTGCTCTTGCTCCTTTGGTACCTCTTCGCTGTCTGTGATTACCGTGTCCACTCTGATTGCTTCTTCCTGAATAAAAATTGGTTTCTCCTCTGGCCAGGCTACATCCCAGTCAAGGTCCTCAAGCAGAACCTCACTTTCTTTCTTCAACAGGGGGCAGATCTTCTGAAAGAGTTCCCAGCTGGGGTGCCTGTCTTCCAGCACCTGTTTAGACATGGTCACTAGGTCAGTGCTTAGAGCATCTAACATTTTTGTTTGGGAAGTAGATATCCTCAGAGTCATAAGACGACATAGGTCATCCCGCCATGATGAGCCATCTCCAGGGGTAACCCTGTGGCCAGGAGCTCCAGTGACACCCCGCCCTTTGGCTTTCACCTTCTTCATAACTCGTTCTTCTTTTACACTAGGCACAGGTTCCTCAGTAACAACATCAGCAACTTTTGTCTTCTTGTGCCTCTTTTTGTGTTTATCAACTGTTCTTTTCTTGCCTCTTTTGTCACGTATTTTCCTCAGCATCTTAAGGGTCACTGCAACATCCTTTGAGACATCTTTCTCTGTAGGTTGTTGTTCAGCATCTTTTGCAATCTTTAGTACACTGGAGATTGAAGACCTTGTAGGATATATAGCGGTATCCTCCACCACCACTGGCACAGGTTCCTTCTGATCACTTTCACCCTCTAAGGGACCTGGCTCTTTCATCTTCTTGAAGACCCGCAACAATTTTCGGGCTGCAGGGAAAATCAAGAGATGTAGATAAGGAAAGTGTAGGAGGCTGAAATGAAACCCTTCCTAATATCTGGTATGGGCTACGAGGAACTGCAACAGAAATAGCAACAGAGGGGGCTGAGGCATTTAAAAAAAAAAAAAGAAGAAGAAGAAGACATTCTCCTTGCTTTATTCCCACTGCCCCCATCCAAAATCCTAGAGAGATAGGCCTTGGAGTCTTCCTAAGTTTGGGTGGATTCTTCCTAGGAAGGTTCTTTTCTGTGAAAAGATCTTTTCATTTATCTCTATTCCTACCTGATATCTCTTGACCCACTGTAGCCCTAAGTACCCTGCCTCTCAGGCATACACTGGATCACCCCATACATACTATGCTTTTTGCCTTCTGCTCGACCCCGTCTTAGGCCTTTGCTGGGCTTGATGACAACTTCAGTTTCTTCAGGAATTAGATCATGTTGCTTGGAAACCTTTGAGATATCTAAAGAAAAAGCAGGCTTTTCATCTTCATGTGACAAGGTCAGGTTTTCATTCAGTCGTTGCTCCACTTGAGTGTGAAGGAGTTGGAGATCTGTGGCACGCATCCCCAGCAAATGGTCCAGAGTTTCCTTCCCAATCATTTCCTGCCTGTGGATGTCAAAGAAGGAGAAGGAACATGCTGAATTAAGGAGAAGAAGGAGAATGAGGAGAGAACTGCTGTGGAATAGGCCGGGAGCTTGGCAAAGTAGCCAATAGAGACAGCGTATGTAGAGGTAAAGGATGGCTAAGAAGAAAGAATGATCTGTATGGAGGCTGCAGGGGTAGGAGAAAAGGATGCAAAAGGAAGCTTGAAGAGGTAGGAGACAGACAGGAATAGGAGAAGAAATGGAGAAAGGAGTGAGCAGTCGGGATTGTCAGGATAGTCTAGGGGTGGAAAAAACTAAGAACAAGGAAAAAGGACAGGAAGAGCCAGTGAACAGGGATGAAGAGATAGTGAAAGAAAGGAAGGAAAAAATGGGGAAGGGGGAGGAGAAAGTGAGAAGCTGGTAAAGAATTGCGTAAGGGACAAAGAACTTACTGCATCTCCTGGTAAGTCTCCCGGTTCTGGATCAAGTTTAAGAGTGAGGTCTTAGTTTGGACTCCAGTGTCAACCATGAGGCTCAGGGCCTTATTCCTCACTCTTTGGTCCTTGTCCATTAACCCTTGGGCCAGGGGCATGGCAAAGAGATGAGTGATCATTCCTAGACGCTTCAGCCCTTCCCAGGCTAGCTCTCGGATCAGTGGATTAGAATTGGTTGTATCATCTAGCAGACGATGGGCTGTTTCAGAGCGCAGGGAAGGAGACACCTGGTAAGAGGCAAAGATTTGCCCCAGCACACCAATACAGCATTGGTACTTCAGTGGAGTAGCATGGATCATGATGTTGAGGATTGTCTCAATCAGGCTATTAATAGCTATTTCACTCATCCTTTTTCCCAGCCAACTGCGGTTTGTTGAGTCTGTAAGGACACTGTAGGTTATGTCTTTGGACATTCTCATTTCTAGGAAGTCTTCATCTTCTTTTTCCTGTGAATATTTTATGTCATGTATAAGTCTTGCTTTATGGTGCCAGAAAAAGAATTGTTGGGACTTGTCCCAGTCCAGTTCCCGTATGGGTGAGTGCAGGTTGCACTGTAGGTATATCGGGCTGCCTTCTGGCCAAAGACGGGCACGAATCACCGAGTTGGGGATGTAGCAATCAGGAGCTAAGGGCCATTTCCGCTCATGACCAAAGTAGTATCTAAGTATCTGATAGGGGTTGATTCCATCCCAGGTTGTCAGCTGTAGTTGGGGAGAAACCACATAATGGGGATAAGGTTGGCTGACCTGAGTCTTTACATTGGTTTTCTCCTCATCCAAGGAACCGCGTTTTGGGGCAGACAATAATACAACACTCCCTTGCTCATCTTCTTCGATGACGTGTGGCACAGCATGGTCAAAGGCAATGGCCCTCTTATTGACAAGTTTCTCCAGACCTACTAATTCCTGTTGCCCTTGTCCAAGGTAGACATACTTGGGCACAAAAATGGTCTCAAAGGAGAAGAAGAAGCTCGGTATGAAAGGCTTAGGGGCCTCTAGCACTTCATCTGTCAGGCTCAAAAAGGAAAGGCGAACCAGCAGGGTCGGGGGCAGCAGCTGTAAACAGGATACCAGATAAAGACTCTGGTTGAAAGTCACAAGCAGGTCAGCCCGGTCATTTGCAAAGCACACTGGGCCAAAGTGCAGTGACGAGTCCAGTATGGCTATGAGTCTCCCGTGGAAGTTCCAGATCCGGACAGAGCCATCACTACCACCTGTAACAAAAAGACTCAAGGACAGGCATACATCGAAGGATGTGATGGCACACTGGTGCAGAGGCAATGTCTCTATGAATGTCGAGCCTAACTTTGTCTCAGAGACCAGAATGTCATGGAACTTCCAGAGACGCAGGCAGTTAGTCTCTGTGATGGCACCCACAGACTTTGGCAAGAGTATTAGGTGTTTTAGGTGACAGCTGCTGAGAATGCTGGCAAGGGGCCGCAGATGTACTCTGGTCCCTTCAAGCACAGCTTCTGATAGGCGTACATAGTCATCCATTCCATAGGAACAGAGAAGAGCATTTTCTCGGCCACTTAAAAGTCCTCTGGGCAGTGTGCAGAGTGCCAGTACAGCCCCAAAGTGCATGAATTTCTCTATTCGAGCACAGCTGTGCTGGGAAAGCACTCTTATCATGCCACTCTGGTGTCCAGAGAACATCAGTCCTTCTAGACCCCGACCCAGGTGGAAATGCCCATACGCCAGGCATTGTACCAGGTCCTGAGCATCTGGCGAAGTGCATAAAAGATACTTGGCTGGGCAAGGGCAGCGGGTTGTATCAAATACCAGCACCTCTGAGCCACCTGTTGCTACAAAGAGCTCCTCTTTATCTGGGTCGTAGGCCCAGTCCACAGCCTGGTCCACGATTGAGAAGGGCCACGTGAGGACCAAGAGATCCCCTGTTAGTGGGGACACGAAACGCAACAAGCCATCCTCAGTAGTGCACAGGATCCGGAACCAGTTATTCCCACAGTGGATCCGACGCACATGCTCTGGAGTGGAGCCACAGACGTTGAAGAGGCTATAGAAGCAAGGCAGGCGGCGCAAGGAGAAAGAGTGGGTAGTCTGGCAGAAGAAAGTAATGTTATCAATAAACTGGAGTCGATACAGTTCCTCGCCAAGTTCTAGCTGCCGTAGTAAGTTCCCAGAAGTCAGGTTCCATTCCTTGATGAAGCCTTCCTTGCCGGCTGTCAGCAGGGTGTGGGCTTCCGGCCGGCTGCGGATGCATACCACTGTTGATGAATGGGCTTTGAAACTGTGCAGAGAGTAGCTCCGACTGAGGCTCCATACTTGGATTTCCCCCGTCTTGTTTCCAGCATAGAGAAAGCCCTGATCAAAACAGGTGAAGCAGCAGGTGATGGAGGAGCCACTGGTGGTAGAAGTGAACCTCTTCAGCTCTCCCAGCTGGCCCAGGCCCTGGCGCTCCAGGACCCTCACCACAGTCTCACACAGGGCTAGGAGGGAGCCATCGGGGCCGTTCAGCACAATGTCCTGGACAAACTCTTCACCAGACATGGAAACCACGTGGGCGATTTGGAGGCCCCTGCCACTCCGCTCAATGATCCAGGTGACCACTGCCCCCAGGATGCCTGACAGAAGCATCTTTGTTTCTGGGTCATAGCAGAGACAGCTGATGTTGAAGCGGCAGGGCACTATACCCAGGGGTTTGAATGACCGAAAGTGGTCCCCAAAGAGCCGCAGTAACAGGTCACCACAGTAGGCCACAAGGATATGAAAGGAACCTGTGTGGACCATAGACTGGATGGGCGGCAATCGTTCGGTCATGGAGAAAGTTCTCTTCTCAACCATGTCCTCAGTTTTGCTCTTCATCCATACTACAGCCTAGAAGGGAATAACATGGAAACTGCCTAGAGAAGATAGTAGGAGAGGGAAGGGCAGACTATTAAGCTGTTTTTCCCTGTTCTTGTGCTAAGGAGGAATTGGAAAATTCTAGAATGATTTTAGTCCCCACTTATTATGGTTAGAAATAATGCAGAAGCAGGAT